CTCCACTAGAGGGCTCTAGAAACCCAAAGTAAACATTCTCCGTTACTGGTCAGTGAACACACACAAACACCAGCGATTGTGTTGCTCTGTGAAACATATACGGTTACACTACGAATGCTAATCCYTACGTGAACCATTCCCCTAGTCCTTCCACAGGTGGGAATATCAGCTGTAACCTCTTGTTCCTGGCTCTTGCTCGAGCCACGCTCCATGCTAATTAGCAAAGAGCCAGCCCTCCTGTTTGGCCTAAATTAATTAATCAGTCCTCATTATGCACACTGCTCCTCTGTAATTGCCAGCACAGGCACAGTGATGAATGATAACACAGAAAACATTCTCATTAATGTGGGAAAAGTGTGTTCCCACCCTCATAATGAGACAGCTCTTATCCACAAGAGCCTTTTCTGCACGCAAACACACGTTTGACACAAATTGCATGTTGACCGAGCCTTTAGGAATGCTTCTTCCGAGCTAAACGGACCAGACACAAAGGTAATGGCCTGGGTCTGCAGGGATCAGCGGGCTGTTCCAGCTGCCTGAGACAGCCACGCCTGACCAACTTTGAGATAAACTAAAGGCGGCCGCAGCACTATTAATTTACAGTGAGCATCCTCCTGTGGCTTGGATTAAAGCAAACTTTAGGGTGGTGCAATTAAAACAAAGATCCCTGAATGGAAATCAGATTACCTCAAATCAACCTTGTTTACTTCTGCAAGGAAAACAAATCCCCTCTGATATTTTCTTTTTTTCTACCCAAGGTGCACTGCAATATTTCAGCATCAGGCATTAATCACAGAGTCTTAATCTCCAGCTAAAGAACAGAAAGAGATGCAAGGTCACATAAAGCCCTGGGTGGTATTCAGACACTGCATTTTGCTGAGATCCGTTATTACCYTTATTCCAAAACCTGCAGATCATCCAGAATGACGTCTCATATCTCAGAGATAAAGTTTGGGAAAGTGATGTGCAAAACTGCCATGACATTCAAACAAAACTGAACATGTGCATGCCACATTTTCACACACCTTTCGCTTCAGTAAAATATTATGGCTTAGAAAATGCAATTTTAAAAAGTGTCACAGACAATTTTCGTCATTTAACTCACTTTCTGAGTGTTAAACATTCTCTACTGTTTTAATGTTATTTAGCTCACTGCTATTTTTTCTTTAATTCAATGCTCAATTTAAAGGTAAAAAAAGTATGTAGATAATAAATTCTAAATCTAAATGTGTAAATCCTAAATGTTGAAATTAAATGTTGACGTTTACAGAATTTTGGAATGGAGCACAGCCTTGGTGCTCGGCTATTGCTAAAATGTCATCATCCTGAGACAATAACAATGACGCTAACACTTGAATGCAACTAAAGCTGCATAAAATGCAGGCTTCTCTGTGTGTGTATGTGTGTGTGCGTACTTGCCTGTCTTGTGAGCAAAATATCTAATGGACTACAAGACATATTTTATTAATACTTTCAGCAAGTATTCATTGGAGTCAACACACTTCAAGATGGCCACCACAGACAAAAGAAATATATAT